AAATAATAAATGTATAAGAATGATAAATGTTAAAACACCTGTCACCAAATGACATGCTGTATGTGATGATGGGTTTTTTTGTGTGTGTTTTTTTTTCATTGTTGTGTGTATGTGTTGTCTACGTAATAAAAATAAAAAAAAATTTTTTTTTTAAAGTATTTGAACTCGACAACATAACATGCCTGTACTTCAGAAGCAAAACGTACCCGTCTTGATCCTATAATCAAGTAATTCTGTGGTAGATTACTTTATTCCAGTAATGCCCTTTTGTTTATTTTTGATGGTGAAAAAATAAAAGCCAATACAGAACCAAAAAGTTTGCTTACTGGAATGCCTGGGGAAAACACTGATTTGTATACCTTTCAGAAATTGGACCAAGGAGTCAATAAGTACATAGTCAGTAAAAGAGAGCGATTGGAGTCACTTTTATCTGAATGTGGAAAGACGTGAAAGCCAACAGCTTCCTAAAGAAACAACCCAAATTCAGCATTCCACAGTGGATTGTAATGCAATATGAGATGACTGAGTCAAGGCTGACTCAGCCTTCCATCCTTCTGAGGTTGGTAAAATGAGGACCCAGGTTGTTGGGGGCAATATGCTGACTCTGTAAACAGCTTAGAGAGGGCTGTAAAAGCACTATGAAGCGGTATAGAAGTCTAAGTGCAAAGTGCTATATTCTCTGCTGAAAACTTTTAAATCAGATGTATCTTCCTAGGCTAGTTATTATAAGTAAAAGCTTGAGAGCTCACATAAGGATGAACGGGAAAGTGCAAAGACTTTTAACAACAAAACTTAGAACCGTTTATCCCTGATAACAGGAAAGTGCTAAATCCACTTTTTTTCTCCATCCAGAGCCATCACGCTGGAGAACACACTGGTGATCTTGTCAACAGTAGCCCCTGATGCTGGAAGGTACTATGTGCAAGCTGTAAATGACAAGAATGGAGACAATAAAACGAGCCAGCCCATCATGCTCACTGTGGAGAGTAAGTGATATTTTGGGGTGAAAAGTGGGGAAAGGGCTTTTGGATTTCAGCTGACTGGTTCTCTGAAAAGGTTCATCTGTCTTTTTAGCAGCAGTCTGGTAGATATCAATTCAGTTGATGCAGGAGAAAAATCATGGACCTGCTCCATGTGTGCCAATGCTTCTTTGCAGTGGGAGAGCAAACTATAACATCGAGCTATTTATCAACATTTGCGGTGGAACACATATAACAGTGTTATTGTTATTGCCTTAAACACCAACATCATTCATCCCGGCTAGACCCATATTGTCTGTCTGTCTGTCTGTCTGTCTGTCTGTCTGTCTGTCTGTCTGTCTGCTTGCCTGCCTGCCTGCCTGCCTGCCTGCCTGCCTACCTACCTATCCAAACGTATGTGTGTTCCAGCATAACTCTGGAATGCCTCAAGCAATTTCAACCAAACTTGGTACACAGATGTTTTGCTCTCTGGAAACAAATAGTGTGGGTGTAAAACACCCCAATACCCCTTGATGTGTGTGTTCTATTAAGATACAGCCTGTTGTGCCTTAAAATGGCTTCTACTGCTGTAAAATGGCTTCTATTGTACAGTGCAGTGGAGCTGCTACGATAACGGCTTCACAGTACTCCACAAGGGGCTCCCTCTGGTAAGGGGGAAAATCCAACATTAGAAATTACATTTGCTCTGGACATTTTCCCCCTATAAATAAATGCCTGGGCAATACCGGATTATCAGCTAGTTTTCTATATGAAGCAGCTAGTAGGTCATGCTTGGGCCCATTCAAGTGAAACTAGGACTTTAATTTACTTTAGCATGCTAGTGAATCCTCTCACAATCTGCTGATAGAGAAATACAACTTTTCCAGATAGGGGGACAGCTGAGTGATCGAGATATCAGCCTCTGAGTATTATAGATGAAGGTCCTGTCCTTCCCAGGAAGAATCAGAGAGGGTTTGACAGTCCTGCACCTTGCAGAGACCACATTGGTGCACACAACACAAAGCTACAAAGGAATTGGCAACCTTGAGTGGTTGACCATCTTTTAAGTGATCCTGGTGAAAATTGTGTTGCGGAAGAGAGATGGCTGGAGACAGCTTTGTCTTCTTCCCCAACACAGCTCCCAACAGCTGGCTAAACAATTATTTGAGGAGCTGTTGGAGAAGAAACCTTATGCAGAGTCTTTCCTCCATGTTTTGTTTTGTTTTTAAACTGTCATAGGTGATGGGCAGAGTGTGTTGGATAGCAACAGAAGTCAGAGCACCAAAGGGGTCATTGCATTGACAATAAATCCTCAAAGCAAATATGAGGGTTGCATGATTGATGGACTATACCTTGCTGCGACATGTCCTAGAACTTTGAGACGCTTCCTGCATTTGACGGTGCAATTGTTCGTTGTCATTGTGCTTTCTGCAAGAAGCGAAAATGTGTATAAAATTGCAGCCTGGATCCCTTGTCATTTGAAAGATCTGGAAGGGCCGCCTGAATAAATGCCAGCCACACCGTTTCAAGAGGCCAGCACAGTGGGAATTACTTTAAACCTAAGTGCTGCAGCTAAGTGGGAGGAGGGCTGAAGTTTATGCCTTGCTTATTTCCTGGTGAACCAATGGTCCCTAAAGCTCAGTTTTGTCACCATTGTCTCTTGCACCTGGCTTCTCTGATGCTTCTGCTGGCTTGGGCCCAGATTTAATTTGCAGTAAATCTCTGGCAAAGCGGCTGGTGCTGACTAAACATTTCTACGGGGCTCTGAATTTATTTAGACACTAGGGGCCATAATATGTACGAGAGCTAGGAGGCTTTCATTACATCACCCGCTTAGGCCCCCATTCCTATCCCTGCATCGGCTTTCTTGGTAGCAGAGGGCTTGACTGCAGAACAGAGCCTGGGAATCTGCATGGCTATCGTCTCTGTAAGGTCTCTGAAGGGAATTCTCCCAGGATGTGTGAATCCTCTTTCCCCCTGGATGCTGTTTATTTCACAGCTGTTTTATGTCTCCCAGATTTGACTTTATATCCCTTTCCCCCTCTTTGCCCCATTAATTTGAAGAGCTGTACCTCAGAGTGCAATAAACACCATAGTGCATGCCTTTATGGATTCAGCTATATCAGCAACTTGCAATTGTAGTCAAGAACTGGAGGAGCAGGGGTTGTGGGGAGTTACCACAGCAATTATTTTATTTTATGCACTTACCCTGTTGCAGCTTCTCTTGCTGCTGCCTTCTCTCTTCCCCTCCTTTCCTTTCCAATGCCAATTGTCGGTGCCCAGCTACAGATCACAGCAGGTGGCAGGATTTAGCAGAAGGTTATGGGGAAGGTAGGTATGGAATCTTAATGTTGTTTTCAAAGATTTCGGCTCTCCAAGCTGCATGGTGGAAGCGAACGTCCTCCCCTGCAAGACACCCTCAGCTTGCTGACTTTGATGGGAGAGCTTGCCTGTGCTCCATCACTTAAGTGAATGGGCAAACCGGTCTCCAACAAAGTCTGATGCCTTCTCCTTGCCCCCTCCTGGAAGTGCCACTCTCACTCACACATTTCAGGTGTTTGATGTGACTCAAAAGCGGCATGCAGAACAGTCAGCACCCTTCAGCGGCACTTGAAACGCGAGAAGTCATATCGCCTTCTGCTGCATGCTTTCTGCTTCTTTGCAGTTTTATTCTTCTGAATGGGAGTTTTAAGAAGGGAAATAGGATCTCTCTGCTCACCATCAGGAAGGAAAAGTCAGAACAGGGCAGCAAAACAGGAGAAGAAAAAAGAGAAGAAGTAGAGATAATTGGGTAAATGAGATACAGGGTTTGTAGCTGGTGTTTCTTGTCTCTATTAAGTGTACATTGCTACAGTGGCTCAATGGGTGAGCAGTCTTGGACCATGTAACTATCATCTAAGAAAGAAGGTTGGGTCAAAAGAGAGAAATAAATAGTAATCAGGTAGAACAAGATAAGCTTCTTAAGCCGTGCAGTTTAATCTGCAGTGATTTCTGTTTGCACAGTCAAACCACATCCTGTTTCAACCAGCCTTAAGGAAAAAGCTTGGTGGAACATTACTTCCCTTCTCTCCTGTGAGATTTCACCTGTCATTCCCTACATACTGCAAACCAATCTTTCTAAATGATCTTTCCAAATGCATTCCCACTTGATATCTTCCCAATATGTTAAAGCAAGAGCCATGGTGGGGCAGTGGTTAGAATGCAGTAATGCAGTTCAATTCTCACCAGGCTCAAGGTTGACTCAGCCTTCCATCCTGCCAAGGTCCATAAAATAAGGACCCAGATTTTTGGGAACAATATGCTGACATTTGTAAACCACTTAGAGAGGGCTGTAAAGCATTATGCGGCAGTACATACCGTATTTTTCTGAGTATAAGACACTCCGAAGTATAACACGCACCTAGCTTTTGGGGGGGGAAACAATAAAAAAAATCTGCCTCTGCCTCCAAGCAACTTGCCTCCTTGAAGCAAACAGCAAACAGCCAGTTCAGTTTCAGTTTAGCACAAGAAAAAAAATCTGCCTCTGCCTCCCAGCAATTTGCCTCCTTGCAGCAAACAGTGTGTTTCAATTTCAGCATAGCCTGATTAGCACAAACAGCTGATTGCCAGTTGGATCGGCCTCCCAACAATCGGCTGTTTCAGGCTGCAGGGATTGCCATAGCCTATTGCCGCCTCCGCATGTCCCATTTTCAGCCCCCGCACATCCCATTTTCAGCCTCTGCGTGCCCCATTCTCCACCTGTTCCGGGCAGCGGGGATCATAATGGGCAGAAAATGGGGCACGTAGAGGCCAAAAACAGGGCACACAGAGGTGGCAATGGCCAATGGCAATCCCTGCAGCCTAAAACAGCTGATGGTCGGGAGGCTGATCCAACCGGCAATCAGATGCTTGTGCTAATCCAGCTGTGCTAAAACTGAAACAGGCTATTTGCTGTTTGCTGCAAAGAGGCAAATTGCTGGGAGGCAGAGGCCAAAGGGTGGGGGCTGGCAGGTGGGTGGGACTACATTTGGTGTATAAGATGGACACAAATTTTCACCCTCTTTTGTGGGGGAGTGTGTCTTATATTCCAAAAAATATGGTAAGTGTAGTGCTATTGCTAGCTATAACCTCTGGAAGTCAAGTTGTGGGAAGCTGGAAGAAGTTCAATTAGAATAGAATTGCAACCAATAATAGTATCTATTTTCTGAGCTCCCACCTAATCAATGCACAGGTATACATTTGGACATTTCACGGTAAATCTTGGATGCATCGGACATTCCTGCAAGATGGCTGCAAGAATATTTGGGACAGACAGAATCAAAGCTTGTAGGAGGACTAGTTGATGGTGCTACATGTCACACAGTCATGAAAAGAAGAATGTTAGGAATATACAACAGCAGTGGTGTGGCATGGTGCTGAATCTGGAAACCTTAGAGGTAGACTAGCTATGTGAGATGGAAATGTTCAGGAGGAGTGGTAAAGCTTTTCTATACAATGAAAATCGGTTCCAAAATGTGAATTAAGAAGTATATATAATGAGCATTTTTCATATATAAACAGTGAATGTTTTTGTGTAACAAATGAACTACTAACTGGTACACCGTCCCATTTCTTTTCACAGATGTAGGCGGTCCAGCTGACCCCATTGCTCCAACCATCATCATTCCACCACGCAACACTAGCGTAATCTCTGGTACTTCTGAAGTGACTCTGGAGTGTGTGGCCAATGCTAGGTAAGTCTGTCTGACTCCTATGCTCTGTGACTTGTGATTCTGAATTCCAATGAGGGCACCTCTGTATGCCCCATGTGCCAGGGCATGAAAACAGGCCATTAACTGCTTCTCAAGGACGTGAATGTTCTCCCAGCCCACTGCAAATTCAGCCTCCACCTACCTATTATTGCTCCACTCCAAATAGGATATTTCCCAACTTCTGCCAGGAATATTGAACCAAGGAGTCATTCTGCAACAAATCATCCCAAGGTAAATTTGGGGATGGAGCCTCATCTTGCCCCAGTTTGCCCCATGAGGCTATTGTTGGCCCACACTCCACATGATGGCAGGACACAGTCTTTCATGGCCATTGGTGAGAGTCAGGTTTCTCATTGTGCCAAAAGGTTTCTCTCCCACTTTTCTTACCAACCCGTTGAAAGGGGTCCATCCTCACAAGCATCTCTGCTAAACAGGCCACTCATCAAACTGCACATCATCTGGAAGAAGGGCGGGATTCCAGTATCCAGTGGCATCAGTGATTACAACCGGCGGTTGACCATCCTTAATCCCTCCCTAAGCGACAGTGGCTACTATGAGTGTGAAGCTGTGTTGCGCAGTAGCAGCGTACCCTCTGTGGTTCGAGGAGCTTATCTCTCTGTGCTGGGTAAGAAGGAGCATCTTTGTTTAGTTTCTTTTCCTAAAAGACTACTCACCAATTGGGCAACCACGTCAGTTCAGCTGCTGCCGTGGTCTTTTGCTTCAGTGCTGTGGTCGTCAGCCACTCAAAGCATTTCCCTAACCACCGAGGGCCACTTTTCCATCTATAATGTGACATTAGTCATTCCTTAAAGTCATATCCCTGTTCCGATTCAGGGTCAAGTGACGATCCTGTTTTTATCACCTTACATTATCCTATGTCTGATAACATGTTAGACATTGCATTTCAAATGATTTTAAAATGATGGTTTGACATAAAGGACATTGCATTTGGATAGTGCAAAATCAAGACAGGATGTATCAGTTTTACTACCCTTGCAGATTTGGGCCTAAAGATTCATTGGCATCATGTCCACCCAGTAACTCTAAGCATAATTCTATACTTCCCTCTAACATTAGCTTGACTTGATGCAGTTGTCTTCTTATCTCCATTTTAGAACTAAGGACAAGCTACTTTTGGGTTTTTCTCATCCAATGTGGAAGCAATATTTCCCATCTTCTCCCAATTCATGTTTTCCTCTGCACACAATATTTGGCAATATGGTGGTGGCTGAACTAGTTACGTGGCAGGGGCTGAGATGTGCTCAACTCCTACTAGCCACTTTTAGCTAATATAGCCCCTTCCTCTCCTGCATTGTGTGAGGGGGTTCACCAACAAATGTGCGCTAATCAAAAGCACGCCGACGAAACCATGTCGAGAAAACCACGAGTTAGAAATTGCGCCGCCAAATGAGCGCAGAAGCGTGCCGACCACAGCACGCCGACAAAAGCGTGCTTTCAACAAACAAGTAATAACAACCGAACAACCGAATAACCCTAACCCTAAACCTAACCCTAAACCTAACCTTAAACCTAACACTAAACCTAACACTAAACCTAACACTAAACCTAACCCTAAACAGAACCCTGAACCTAACCTTTACCTTAACTGTAATCACACTTTTGTGGGTGCGGTTTTGTCGGCGCGTTGTGGGCGCATGTATGACATCGCAGTTTTCTCGCCGCGGTTTCGTCAGCAGGCTTTTGACATGCGCGCATTTGTCGGGTCACGGTGTGAGGGCAGCCTCTACAACTTTCTTATAACTTGCTGACTTGAGCCAGTACTATCCTAATGTACAACCTATGAAGTCATACTAGATAAGTGATGGCTAACTTTTTGTTGTCACGTGCCGAAAGCGCCTGCCCACCCACCCACACCAATAATGCAATGCGTGCATGTGACCCCTGTGTGTCCCATCCCTGCGCATGCACACATGACCCCCCTGTGTGCCCCACCACTGCGCATGCTTTTGCAACTCATCCTGCATGCACCCAACCCCCCTTGCCCATTTTTGGCTTCTAGGTTGGTGCAGGCGTGTGGCCCCCCCATACCCCGTGTTGGGCCTGGAAAGCCTCCACCAACCTGGAAGCCAAAACAGGGTGTGGAGGTGCCGTGCAAGGCCCCAAAATGCAATGCAAGTGCCCCTGTGCATGCCCCCTGTCCACCACATGTGCGCATCTCCTGCGTGTGCTCCCACCCCCACACATGCATGCATGCCCCCCCATGCATGCGCAGCAGAGACCTGCAGAGCAGCTCTCTGGCAGGAGGCATGCGTGCATGCACGGTGGAGCTGGCCTCGGGCAACAGTTTGTGGGCCCACAGAGAGAGTTCTGCATTCTACCTGTGGCACGCAGGCCATAGGTTCACCCTCATGGTCCTAGATCACTTACATATATCCAAGCTTTAGAATCCTACAATGAAGTGGCATAAAAGTCCTGATATACAGTAGCTCTGAATATTTTCTTAATATCCTCCTTGTCTCACAGGATTTACTTCTTAATTTGTGCCTATCATACAATTCCAGCTTCTACTGATCAATACTTCCAGATCTCATGCTGGCAGTTTGCAAGGATGTTTTCCTTTGTAGATCTCCCTTCCCCCATGTAAACTCAATGCTAGCAGGTCAAGCGCGTGCACCAACTCCAGGAAGAGAACTCCTTTCTATTAGCCAGTAGCCCTCTCATCATCAGCATATCTGATAGCAAATTCTTCAAGAGATATAAGACAGAAGAGCAAGCATTTTCTTCCCCCTCAGATCCACTACATTGGTTGCTAATCTGTGGACAAAATGGACCAAAATAATCTACAAGAAAAATTACTGGATAAGCTAAGAATCAGGATAGATAAGAACAGTTCCAAAAATAAAATTTAAAAAAAGGATAGGAAGAGAGCCCATATAAGGACCTCAGAAGGCTTAAACAAGGGAAGAAGTGGAAATGAAAGCCCATTAATCAAAAATGTTCTGACTGAAGGGATCAGATAAGTTAGAGAAGGAGGATGTGTTGATAGATAAGAATCCAAAGAACGAAATCTGGCAGGTGATTGATAGAAGTATTTCTTCCTGATAGGAATTCCACAGATCATGGCTCTTAACGTGTCCTGAAATAAAATATTGGAACAGGTGACCATTTGCTGGCCCTGTTATGAAAGCAGAATAGTGACCAACAAATAGATCAAATAATGCTAGTATACTTTTGTGTCTCCTTAAAGACTGGAGGAATGCAAATAAGGGGTTGCTTGCCTGTATCTGTAATATCTTCTAGAGTCCCCCAATCATTGTTATGCCAAAAAGACAATAATGAGGGCAGGCTTTCTATCACTTCAATAGTGACTCAGTGATGCTGTGAAGATGCTATACAACACTAGTGGGAAAATGACATGAGTCTTATTTAAGTGCAGGTCAAGTTATGTTTGTTCTTTAACAACAAAATTAATAAAAGCAGAAATAATTTTCAAAGTTCTAGAAACATTTCGTGTGGAGTTGTAGCGTGGAGCCATCTAGCTCGGGGGTGTCAAACTCGATTTCACTGAGGGCCGCACCAGGGTTGTATTTCACCTCAGGGGGAAGGGTGAGCATGGTCAGGGTGGGCGTGGCCAGCTCGACATCACTCACTGAAGCTCTTGTTTTCAGCTGTGACATCTTCCTAGAGCCCTCCGCGCATGGCGTCCCCAGGCTGTTTTTGCTGGCAGAAGGCTCCAGGAGGCTGTTGCAGCCAAAAACAGAGCCTGGCAGGACGTATGCAGCCTCCCTGAGCACCATTTTTACTTGAAGAGAGTTGCAGGAGGCCATCGCAGCCAAAAACAGAGCCCAGGAGATTCTGCGCACGGCCCTCCCCAGCTGTGTTTTTGCCGGCAGAGGCACCGTGGGCCGGTCCTTCACTATTTCCAGGGCGGACCTGCAGGCCAGATCTAAGCACCCTGTGGGCCTCATCCATCTTGTGGGCCTTGAATTTGACACCCCTGATCTAGCCCATAAGAAATTTGTTACATACCGACAGCCAAATGGTAGGCTCCACCAAGGTCCTCCGATCCGGTGGGAAAATACTCCAAGCCAATTGGCCAAGCCATTTGACAGCTCCCTATAAAAGGGCTAGCTGTCAAATGGGCCGGTGCTGGATTTGTAAATAGTTGTCTAATAAAGAGCTGTTATTTGTCACTGAAGCCTGAGTCTGTCTCATCCATTCACCCGATCTAATAAAATTGATACTAGATCTTAGGCAGGAAACACTTACTTTCAGATAATTTGTTTTGTTTTGGGAGCGATTTTTTTTTTTTGTGAGAGATGACAAATATAGAAGCTGAAAATTTCCCAATGTAACTATGACATTTCATTTTTACAATTCAATATGAAGAACGTTCGGCTGGTCCTATGTCTGGTTTTTCTTTTACAGAACCACCCCAGTTCACCAAGGAGCCAGAAAGACACATCACAGCTGAGATGGAGAAAGTAGTACAGATTCCATGCCAAGCTAAAGGTAATTTCCTCTATCACATTAGGGATTGTTGGGATCAATTTGGTTTCGAATCAGAATAGTTAACCTTACAATCCTAGCCATCCACTCCTTTGATAAATGACCATTTCCGTTATATCTACATTTGGCAGATTTTTACACAGAGAAATGAATGGAGGACATGATCACATGTAGCTAAAAATATGTGCATGAGCACATTTCTGTTCCCATTGAGCTGCAGCTAAAACCAGGAAAAGACTAAGTAGGATACACTGATGTGTGCCTTAATGTATGGACCAGTATTTATCAGTCGTGATGACTTTCAAATATATGGACTTCAACCTCCAGCAAGCTGGATGGGGACTTCTGGGAGTTGAAGTCCAGACATCTGAAAGTTACTAAGGTTGAGAAACATTGTTCTACTCCAAGATAGGGGCCCTATGTTTAACAGCAGCTTTATTTGCAGTAGCACCAAAGATGTCACTCCCTAAGCTTTCTGTGAAAAAAAAGCAGAAAATTTGAAGACTTGTGAAAAGGAAACTGTCATCCTAAACTGCAAGCTAGAGGCCTGATTTTAAGTAGTGGCAAACATTTTCTCTGAATAGATCATCAAGGTTTTGCTTTTCTGTTGTTGTTTGAAATCCCAAAAGTTTTATGGGAGTCGAGTCATTGGTATATTTGACAAATCTAAGTATATTGTCCTTCCATAGATAAATCTAGCAGTGGGGCCAAAGTATAGGATAAAAGGTGGGAGATCTCTAATTTTCTCCTTCCAAAAGTTACCTACTTTTTATATTCCCTGGTCTGGCCCACCTGTTTGATGTAGCTGCTTGGTAGTTCAGCTGCCATCACTTGTCCATTTGGGGATGTTCTTGTCAAGCATCCTCCCCTTCAACTCTAGCATGCAAGAAGATGGGGGGGGAAATATCACCATATTCTTTAGCTTTACTTGCCAGTAGAAAGGAGAAAAGATGATGAAAGTGAAGTAAATTCTACAGGATCCCTTCTTGATCCTTGTAGCTTTGAGGCATATGCTGGGGAAATCAGCTCCTTTCTTTTGGGAGTTGGATCAAAAGCACCCTCTATAATTCAAAATCAACTTCATTAAAAATAGAAAAGAATAAAAGGTATCTCCTTTTTAATTTGAGGTAACCATCCGTAAATAAATGCATTTATTTACATAGGATGGTTGCTAAGACAAATACAATAAAATTAAGCTATAACAGTTATCCAAGACAAATATTTATTCTGTCTGTTTAGCATACACATTCAATTAAACCATGGTCTAATTCAATGGTTCCCAACCTTTTTTTGGCCATGTCCCACCTAAGCATCTCTAAAATCCTGATGCCTCCCCCCACCCTGTGGCATATATGGTAATTCTTATTTTATTCAAAAAGTGAATTCTACTCACGTGGAGGAAGCCTAAAAGGCCATTAACTTGGTTTAAGCAGGGTTCAAATTGCCCACATTAAAAATCAAATTGCCCACCAGTGGGGCCTGGGCCCTACGGTAGGAACCACTGGTCTAATTATAAGTTGTTCCTGGATAAATATATTACCTATGTCTTAGACTTGAAGAATTCATCCAGCAAACAATCCCTTGCTTGGATTTGATATCTTACATCTTGTAAATTGCAATCATAACTGAGATCAATTTTAATATTGGTTTCATTTTATTTTCTTCCCCTTTCCTGATGCATTTGTGGCTAAAACAGATTTTCCCATTTCAGTTATTCCTGGATCACATTATCAGATGATCCCTGAGGATGCCAGTTGTTCTTCCTCCCATTTCTCTGGACATCACTTTTCATCTTCCAGAGCTTGGATTTAAAAATGACGGAGATTTTTATTTGGGGGGGGGGTGAGAGGGATGTCCTTTCCTGTATACAGGTGGCAGAACATACATTTCCGCCCTGATAATGTAGATTCAAACCCAGAGGGTTTAATGTAGATTCCTTGACTTGGTTGCAACTGCTGGGTGACAATACAAGGTGGTATACTTCAAAAAAAAAAGATAATAAAAATAAGAAAGAATCACAACGAATAAGAGCAATAAAGCAAAAAACAATAAAAGTCAACGTTCAGAATAAAATGCCATTTTCATCTTTTCTGAGATGGCTGAAAAAAAATATCAGATATTATCACTGAAGGAGTTTTTAAGTGGGAGGAGAACTCCACAAGAGGCCCTCAGTTTTCCCTTGCCGCATCTTAGATGGCAAGATCTCTGTGCATAGACAGTTCTGGAAACAAATCTTTAAGTGATCTTTAAAACGGGGTGGCAACTATTTCACTGGCTTTTCTGTGTTTGAGCACAGACAATGACATTAGACCTCCTCTTAAATCACAATGAATGTCTTGGTTTTATTGTTGAATTGTTTAAACAAGACCCTGATTCTTAAATCAGATTTGAAGCAAATCTCAAATTTTTGCAGAAGGTTTGATCAGGGTCTTAGAGGAGGAAGGAATAAGGCGAGCTTGTCTAATTTCACTGTTAACTTCATTCAGTTTGATCAATGAGTGCCACAGCAGGGGGGGTGTCTTCTTGAAGACCACCCCAACTCCGATGGGTTCTGAAGAATTCAACAATACGTTTTAATGTCTCTCGACTGTGACTCTTAGTTTAAGAAATATAGTTTTCAGAAGGAAAACCACATGGATCGGTTAAATAAATAAAGATGAGAAGGAGGAGAAAGATGCATTCATCAGAATCCAGCCATATGAAAGCAATTAACAAACAGAGCCATATGTGTTTAGGAGTTAAGTATCATTGTTCCAGTACTGCCTAATGGATCTCTCTGTGGCCTTTCTGCCTGCCTGTCGGCCTTGATTTTAAAATAATTCATCTTTAAAATCCCCTTTCTTTCCCACCGATATTGCAGGTGTGCCTCCACCCAGCATGTTCTGGTATAAGGATGCAGTACTACTTGGAGTGGAGAAGCTTGCCCGCTTCAAGCTGCTTGCTAACGGGAGCCTGCAGATCAGTGGCCTAATGCCAGATGACACAGGCATGTTCCAGTGTTTTGCCCGCAATGCTGCTGGAGAGGTGCAGTCTTCCACATACCTGGCCGTCACTAGTAAGTGTCAGTGTTCTCCCCAAACACAACAAACCCTCTGTAATCAATCAATCAATTCCTTTATCAGGAGCGCCAGCAACCCGGGCAAAAAGTCTCTCTCTTACACCAGGCTAACAAGTCTGTCCGGCAGGGAGATGAATAGTTGTCTGCTACATCTATTTATCTCCACCCCCAGTCTTTTATCCCCAGAGCTAGGTTGGGGCTTCACTAGCAGCAAAGGCTTCGCTAGCAGTAGTGGCTCCTCCGTCCCAAGGATCGGCACACAGTTTTCCACTGCTCTTCTCTCCTCTGCCTTCTGCACATCCGCGGGTCAGACACTGGACCCAGCTGTTCCTCCTCTTCCTCATCAGCCACCTCCAGACCTGGGGCTGTTGACTCTCCATCTGAGGACTAATGGATGGCCCAGGCTCCACCTCTGTCTCTTTCTCTCTCTCTAACATCTCTATTCCTTCTTCCCCCTCGGAGCTCTCATGTTTCCTTAATGCTGATCCTGACTCCCATGCCTCATCAGCTGCTGGAGGAGCCGGCAGCCAACAGGCCATAGCAGTCAGCAAGTTCATTTCCCCTAGCTTGCTTTGCTGGTTGTCACCTATTTTCTGCAGTACCTCCCACTAGTGGTGCTTGGTGGGGAAATATGAGCAATTAGTAGTCATGTACACTTGTGCCCACCCGACTCAATAGTGTTGATGTAGTCATAGAATAACAAAGTTGGAAAGGACCTTGGAGGTCTTGCTCAAGCAGAAGACCCAGGAGATTGGAGTCAGTCAAGAAAAGAAATAAAATATAGCAAGTGAATTTTCTTCTGACAGAGCAGGGTTCATCTTCAAGGAAGAGAAAGATGTCTTTGGAGAACAGAATGGGAATTTTGCAAATAGCAGGTTCTCCCTCTGTTTCACCGAGAGATTATTTCCACCACGCAAAGCATAGCACGGTATCCATTATTAAACCTGAGCCAAAAAGGACCCGTGTGCTTACACGGGGTAAGGTCTTTCGGATTATTTTATTTCTGTTCAATTATGGTAGATTTTGGGGTGGGGGTGTTAGGGAAATAAAATTCAGCATCGTGTTGCGCTAAGAGTTCTGGTCATTCAAAACTCTTCCTATAAGCATTCTTCCCATCTCTCCCTCATTACAGGCATTGCGCCCAACATAACCCGGGGGCCCTTGGACAGCACAGTGATTGATGGGATGGCTGTGGTTCTCAGCTGCGAGACGTCTGGAGCTCCCAGACCAGCTATCACCTGGCAGAAAGGTAACGGTGAATTGGGAAACTATTCATCCTTTGGAAAAACAGGTGTCAGGCACACCAAAAACTAGCATGGCAGAACTACATATTTTGCAAGCAGAGGGATTGCAGCATCAAGTTTTGGTTTCTTTTCACACAGTAGAAAGTTTCCTTTTTCAGTGTTAGTTAAAAATCCATACCGTGTACGGGTTCTGGGAAGTCGGGGGGGGGAAGGAGGAGGGGGGATGGGGGGGGGGAGGGAGGGAGGGGTATACACAACAAAAAAAAATTGTACTTCAATGTCTTAATGATTGACAAATGATGACATATTTGTGTTTTTTTTTTAAAGAAAAATAAAAAAGTTCTCTTAAAAAAAAAAAAAAAAGAAAGTTTCCTTTTTCTCATTCCCTCTGAACTCCTTTGCGTGCCCTCAAATCTGTGAACAATTTCTGGAAATTTATTTTATATTTATTTATTAGATTTTTTTGATGATGCCTTTATTACTTTATAAGTACCTCAAGGTGGCAAACATACATAATGTATCTTCCTCCTCCTATTTTGCCCACAATAATAATCCTGTGAGATGAGTTGAGTTGAGTTGGGTTGAGAGAGAGTGACTGGGTTAAATTCATCGACCCAACTTACATGCCTAAGGCAGGACTAGAATTCACAATTTCCTGGTTTCTAGACCAGCACCTTCATGTTTACCAAAGAGGGTCTGTTTCTGTGACAGATGTGAAGGACACAATTAAACACCAGTCAAATTGTGATGGGAAAGCCCACTCACTCTTTGAATTGGGCTGGAATGACCCATGGATTTGGTTTTTCTTGACAACTTCATTGCCTCACTGAACCTAAAACACCTCAATGTTTTTTTAAAAGTTAATGACTTCCCTTTAGCATGCTCCTTACAGGGTACCTTTGATCAGCTACACTTAGGGAATTATATCTCCCTTATCTACAACCAAATATTTAATCCTACCTGGAGCATATTGCTTTAGATCAGAGAGTGTATTTCAGAAATATTAGTGCTACAATAAGATGCATCTGGAATAATAATAAGAAAAAACAGAATTGAGAGCAAGGGAGATTACATTTCAAATCATAGGAAGAACTAGGGCTAAACCATTAACGAATTAGCCTATCTGTGACCCTTATTCCCATTCACTGCCTGCTGATGGGGTGGGATTAAGTGGGGAAAAAGATTTAGTCTGAGAGCATTTGATGCATAGAAATGAATAAATGATCAATGAGTACTTTAAAAGAACAAAAAAAAAAGTAGGCAACCCAGATGTTTATGATAGTTTCAACGCACTTGACCAAATGTGTAATGGGTATGGGAATTATAGTCCAAAATACCTGAAGACCATCAAGTTGTCCTTTTTGGCAAAGGACGAGAAGATTTCCTCCCCACCCAAAAGCCAGCCCTGTGCTTCCAGGCAATTCAGACTTTTACTAGCTTTATTATACCTCCCTCAGTTGCACAGAAAAAAGTTGATGCTCCTTTGCTTTACTCTGTAAATTTACATCCCAAGCGGTGTCACCAGCCAACCCTATATTTTATTATATGTTCTAAAGCCAAATTTCCTCTTTGGGGCCCTTTGAATTCATAGATCATAGGTAGGTTGAAGCTCATCCACACAGAGGAAGAAGAAACCTTTGGCAAATCTGTCCATCGTTTTCTCGGTGCCTGGCTGGGTTACTAGGTTTACAGATCTCCAGCATAGCGCCGAGGTCAGAATTGGTGACTTGAAAAAATCCATGGGCAGCCTCAACAAGGGTCACCACTGACCATGTAATGAAGTCTACCTTTTCTCCTAATAGGTGAACGGATCCTGGCCAGTGGCTCAGTACAGCTTCCTCGTTTTACATTGCTAGAGTCGGGAAGTCTCCTCATCAGCCCTTCACGGATCTCGGATGCTGGCAGCTATACTTGCCTGGCTACTAACTCGCGTGGAGTTGATGAAGCCTCAGCAGAGCTTATTGTCTGGGGTAAAAGTCTCCCCGTTGCCCTCTTATTAGCTTCCCACTTCTTTCTCTTGGGGACCTCATGCCTGCAATTTGTTTGATTTTTAATCTCCCAGAATCCTCAAGTTTATACTTCCCCAGGTTTTATGTCAAGCCACCTAATAATGCCAGACTTATTTCCCAATTAATGTTCATAGGAAACGAAGGGAAATTGAAAGTGGTAATCCTCCCATTTAGGTCGAGTGCGTTTTAGTGCACTTTAAAGTTAAAAATCCCCTCCATAAGAAGGCAAAAATGGAGGAAAGTGACCAAAAGCCCCACTTTCCTTGATAATGTTGAATAACATAATAATAATCACTGCTTTGCTCATCAGTTTTCAGCAGCCGGGGGTGGGGGATGGGAGAGAGTCAATATCCTGATATCCCACATTCGCCTTTACTTGTTCAGTAAGCTTTTGGCCCAGGAATAATCCCCAATGCAAAGATGTTATGTGTGGTTTGCCTCTCTTGGCAGTTTCTTAATAGCATATTGGTACATTCCTATAAATGCAGCACATGATATGGAATCAACTGATACGTTTGATCCCACAATGTCATGTTATGGGAACTATCAACGCAATTTTCCCGCTAATCTGTAATGCAACAAAGCACAGACGTGCTACCATCTTGAGTTCAGTGGCCCATGTGGGTTGTGAGTGTCTAATTGTTTTTGAGAGAATATCCATCACCTTTCAAAACCAGTTTTAACTCTTGTCTAATAAAGCAATTGCCATTAAGTCTGCCACATTCCTGGTTGAGGTGGATTGGTTCCCCCTGCTGGGCATAAATGGAACAGGATGCTCTGAGAATCTTATTTATTTTGTTTATCTGTTTGATGAGTCTCACCCTACCTACCTATATGAAAGATGAATGTAGTCTTGCTCACATGGTGAATTACCCTAAAAAGCCCATCCTTTATTAACCTTCTCCACATTCCCTTTGGTAGATTGGGATAGTTAATCTTACATCTGGCAGGCATTGTGAACTTCCATTCCCCGCAGCCTCAGTCAGGGTAATTGGCAAGGAATTGTGAGAGCTATAGCGCAAAATATCTGGGACACTTGTTTATTACTTCCCTCTGTGTATACTGTAGGCAAGTACAAAGCTCACATTCAACGAAAAAGCCTCCTTTGTGATAACACTTAAGTGATGGCCTGGATGGATTAAATAGCATGAATGATCAAGTCAGCTGCTTCATCGGGCAATCAACCTCCCCTCTCTGTGCTGATAGCACACTCTTACCAAGCAGTCAGATAGGAAGTAGCCATTTTCATTGTCCTTCCAGTTGCCATTAAGGAGGCTGAGAGGCTGTCATTTCCTAACACGTTTCCATCTCAGTGGAGGGGAAGCGGACTGTTAAAAATCAACTATGATCTGAACAGAACCAACACCTTTCCACACCCCTTTCTGTTCTTTATATTCCCATCATTTGACCAAAGATTTGGTAACAAAAGAAAATAACTCCAAGATAGAATGCCAAGAGAAACCCTTTTCTTCCAAGAATGCTCTAAATCTATCTTTATAGTAGCTGGGCAGAAAGGGATAACTGCCCCATCTGTAATCTAAATATTTGTGACTGAAACGAGATAGTTAACTCCCTCTGGCCTCCCCTCCACTTTAGATGTTTGCACAACAGAGAGAAAACTCCTCATTTAGTCTATTTTTAAAATTATTTTTTAAATTTTGTTTTTCACATTTCTGTACCGCCCATCTCCCTCAGGTATATTGTGTGAACAGGGTCATCTTGTATGTACGAAGGAAGATGGGTAGGTGGGTGGGTGAATGGGTGTTGCTTGGTTGGAACCAAAGATCCAGTGTAATTGCAACAAGAGGTTATTTTTCCTTCTTCTTTAAATTTAAATGTAGAGCTTAGGTTGTTAGTGGCTCCACCACAGTTTGAGTTGCACTAGATGATATATGTCAAGCAGTCCGGGGAGGGGAGTAGCTACAGCTAAAAATTGAATTAATGCCCCTTCATTTTAGGCCTTCAAAAACAATCATGGGTTGGTGCATTGCTTTTTTTTTTTTTTGCTTGCTTGATTAATTGTTGGTATTATGATGTATCAGATCTGGTTTGGGGGGTGCCTCCTGCTTCTAGTCTTACAAAAAGGATGCCTTTATTACCAGAACTTAAAATTCCAAATGTGGAGTCCTGAGTTGATATTGGAACTATGTCTGTTCACCTATCCCATTTCAATCTGTGTTCAAACTATGTTCATCTTCTGTCTTGTGTCTCTTTGTCTGGCAGCGCGGACTCGTATCACCAGCCCACCTCAGGATCAAAGCGTCATCAAAGGCACTAAGGCTTCAATGACCTGTGGGGTAACGCATGACCCCAACGTGCTCGTTCGGTAGGTGATCATTTCTCACGTGTGTTAAGATGAAGGGAAAACGAGGAAAGAAATGAGAGCCAAGTAAAAAACTATTAGAAAAACTAAAACTATTAGAATATTGTTTGAGGATTCTTTTTTTAAAAAGCTGAATGTCCTTGTACTTTAAATTTCCAAACTTCTTTGTAAGAAAAAGAAATAGTCAGCTTAGAAGTAATGCTAAAATTCTGTATATACTCTTTATGATTTCCTGAGGAGCATATAAACTCCTCAGTAGGGGTTTTCTTGTGTTTCTCTTGCTAGGAAGGAGTAGTTTATTGACCTCAACTTGTCCGGCTATTGCACCTTTCTTCATACAAATCTCCTTTGAAAGGAGACACTCTCTAGCCATCTCTGCGATCTGGGAACCATCAGGACTCCATTTATCTACAATGCTTTTCTAAGATTGATGTTGGAGTCTTGCAGTATGACAAAGCAAGGAATCTTCTAGTCACATCTTTATGTGCTTTGCGAACATCTACCAAGAAACATAATGCAAAATACATACATGCAAATTCATAGACCTATATTGCCACCTGGTGCTTAGCTTAGCTTTGAAGCCGAGACAAATTGTTGTGTTGCACTAGTGAGTGAAAGAAGAACATCATGGGATTCCTTTTTAGAAAGATCTCCTTTCCTTCTCTATAGAGAAGTGTTGGCTGCTAAGTCTACCTAAGTTCACACTTCATATTAAGTCAAAATATGGTTTTGTTTCAATTGAACATGGTGTGAAGCCAGTTCACGTGGTTATAAATTAGATCAGGGGTAGTCAACCTTTTTATACCTACCGCCCACTTTTGTATCTCCGTTAGTAGTAAAATTTTCTAACGGCCCACTGGTTCCACAGNGTCTTCCCAACAATTCTGCAGCTTTTTAAAAAAGCTGTTTTTGGTAGGAGTTGTAAAGAGCCATCAAAGGATTAAGCTGCCTGTGTTGTCCTATGTTTGGCAGTCCTTCGTTCATTTGAAAGGTATCTTCTTTTATGCCTATTTTATGGACAAACTAAGTGTTCTTTCTTTTAAGAAAAGTCATTTTCTTCCCAGCTGCATATCCAAGAACAGAACCCTCTGGTTTCTTTTGTCATTTGTGTTGCTCTTCCAAACACTAAAATAAGGATTGATTCATTCTAAGAAGCAATAATCTGAAATTCAGTTACTTCTGGAGAGTGGACCCAGCAGCTTTAGGGCTTTTCATCCCACAGATCAGAGACAGAGCTCCAATATTAAAAAGGGAAGTTATGCTCCACTCCCGACTGAGCTCCCACGAGCTTTCAGTGTCAGTACCTTTTCATATCAGTGAAGCTCCTATCTAAGAAAGGACCAAGAAAAGTTGGAGGAAGAGAGTAAAGATAGGTAAGCTTGTATGAATCCAGTCATTTCCCAAGTTCTCTAGGTCTTGAACATACCTCATAGAGTTGCACGTTCCCCCTCCCCCTTCCTCAGAGTTCATATATTTCCCTCCCGCAATAAGGAACCAAAGAGTCATAGAAATTCCTCTTTTGCCCTGCCAAATTTACATCAGCAGGGATTCAGATTCTTCAGCAATTTATCCTTCTCTGGGGGATACCCATTGCTTTGAAGCAAATTCTACAGTAGTCAGGTCTGCATTTAAAAAGCTATATTTAAAGCTCGTGGTTTGATATAATTGCTGTCCAGCTTCTAATATACGATTCTGAATAAATACGCTATAATTGCTTAATTCCTGGATGGCACCGTTATTCAATGTTTTTGGGTTTTTTACTGTTGCTTTAAGCTAGAAATGAAACTGCCTTTAGAATCCCTTTTTGGATTTCATCCCTTTTCTTCTCTTTGGCCATGATGGTGATCTGATATTCTCTCTGGACCACATTTTCCATGACCTTTGATTATACCTCTTCCTCTTTGCCCTTTCTGCCCTGATTAAAAACCAAGCAGCATAATAGATACTACTTTTTCCTGTTACTTGGTTAGAAGGGGAAAGTGGCAGAACTCATGACAATTTCAACTAGGTGTGTGTGTGTGTGTGTGTGTGTGTGTGTGTGTNCTTATAGCCTTGATTCTGAGTGTACAGCTGATGAACATAAAATGGAAGGTTGGGGTGTACCGTACAGATGTTGCCGAGATGGTCCCTTCCAATTTCTCTTTTCCACAGTTCCCACGGTGTCTCCGGGTAATGTCCAGGCTGAGGCCACCAATTCTACCACCATTCGTTTCACCTGGAACCCTCCAAGTCCCCAGTTTGTCAATGGCATCAACCAGGGCTACAAGGTAAGAGACACTTCAAGGAGGAGGAGAAAGCCATTTACTTCTAAGGCATTTAGAGCTGTAGCTAACAGCTGTGACAAGTCTTACTTCCTCTCTGGATGCCCACCACATGCACTGGGACTCTGGGTAGAAATTCTGAGAATTGCAACCCCAACCCATCTAGAACACGGGCTTGGGGGACGCTAGTTATAACCCCAAAATTCTCCTAGCTCCTTATGGGGTTGGACAGATGTTGAAAAATTTCAGAATGAACATTTGTGTGGCCCTAAATGGAGACACTAACTATAGTTTTGGGATGATTAAGTGGATAGTTATTTTTTGTTCCAGGAAGTGAAATAAAAGTGAAATAGAATTAAGACAGTCCAGACACCTGCGTCAGAGTTCCCATTCTGCCTCTTTCCCTCACGTGCTAACAGAATCTACAGTCATCATTCTTTCATTACCTAAAGCTATATAACCTATTTTTTTCCATCAAGAAGGGCCAAGCACTCCTGCTGTTTTCTGCTGGTATTTCTTGATGGGAGTCTATTTAATAGAGTTACATAGCTTTCAGGTTTCTTTTCAATAACTATTTTAGCAGCATTAATCATGGCACAGAGTTGTTCCTGGGTCAACTAATGATCTTTGTCTTATCTGTAAATTTCATCTAATGGGATCTTTCTATCCTACTAGCCACAGTGTAATTTACAAATGGTACAGAATCTGACCCACCTTCTCTTTGGACTGTAATAGGTGAACCATAACAATAAGCAGATCCAACTTTCCCCCACCCTCCAAGTAACCTCTATAAATAGTCAGTAAGACTAGCAAATTATGTCTTTGCTTCTGGTTGTTGTTTTTTTCTATCATCCCAGAGCTAACTATAAAAGACCAATTTAATTATATGATTCCTCCTTAGCAGTGTTAAATGGGACTGTCTTATAAGAACTGTGCATCTCCATGGCTGTGACTTACTGAATGTACTGTATTGCAGCAAACTAGTGCACCCATGTGCTCCAAAATGAAATGGCAACTTGGATTTCAAAACGAAAGTTTTTTTGTCACTGCTTTTCTTGAGGAAGCTTCTTGTCTAAGGTAATAGAGAGAATAGCCAGTAGAGAGAATACAATTAATGATACTTAAACTCTCACTGCATATGAATCTGAGGAATCCTCTTAGTTTACAGTTATTTGATCATCAGCTCTTTTAAAATAAGACCTTTCTTAGTTCTCCTTTAATTAAAAATCTGTTTTCATGGCTCCAAGCTTATCTGTTAAAATATATTTACAAAAAGATAATACTTGTGTGGAAGACTTGACTTGTGTGCTTAATTCTGAATTGTAATTAATTCAGATTTGCATTAATTAAATTGAATTTAAATAATTAAAACTTGCTTCTTAATCTACTCCAGAGGAGTTTGAAAATTTAATTGCTGCCAAATGAGATAACCAACGTTAAGAAGGATACTTAACATACTTATTAAATGCCACTTAGTATTTTTGATTAGTATTTTGGAGGCCTAATTAGTATCTAATTAACTTGCTATAGGCTATCCTGCACTCTGCCAATTAAGCACCCAAACATTCTTGCATGTAATACCATCACAAAGTAGTTGATTATGCATTGTTATCAGCATTGGTTAATCGGACTTATTTTGGAAGGATAAAAACACATACTTCTTAAAACTAAACTAAATTTCCCATAATTGATATTTAAGCAACTTTCAATAAAAATTATCTTTCTGAGCCTGTCTTCCCAACAATTCTGCAGCTTTTTAAAAAAGCTGTTTTTGGTAGGAGTTGTAAAGAGCCATCAAAGGATTAAGCTGCCTGTGTTGTCCTATGNGGAACGCCCACTAGTGGGCGGTAGGGACCAGGTTGACTACCACTGGATTAGAGCAAAGTCTGAACTCAATCAATTTTCATTTAGTCTCCAAATTAGGTTTAAACAAATATGTAAACCCATTTGAGAACAATATGCTACATTGCAAGAATGCATACTAAGAGATAAGTAACATTCATAAATATCCATGTTTGGGGAGGGGGATTTGTGTCACATACTAGTACTAGTGTACATGCTAGTATTTGATGAGCAGTTCACCACCTGCAGAAGAAGCTGGAGTACTCTAGGAAATAATTTACACAAGGACTAGAATTAAAGAATTAGATCATTGCAATCAGATTTGAGAGATGATCTGCTTGTAGTTCTTTGCAACCTGGCTTAGGATATCAGGAATCAATCAAAGCTTCCAATAGCAATCTAGATAGACTAGGAATAGTTGGCAGGAGAGGAACCTTTATCACCGGTTTCTTTTTCCTTAGGTACATGTGGGAGAAGGATGGCACCATTGTGAACACAGAGAACATGCCCCGCATGCGTCTGGATACCACTGGCACTTTGCACATTGCCCAGACCTGGTCAGGGGACATTGGCACCTATACATGTCATGTGATATCTGCTGGAGGCAATGACTCTCACAGTGCCCACCTGCGAGTCCGGTAAGGCTACCCTACTTCAGCACAGGTATAGAATCTGAAATTCCAGGGTTGGATGTGTTCCCCAAAAATCTTTGATGTAGCCACCAGAGACCACCCCAAGTAACCTAATTGATTGAGGGAGAGAACTCTTTTTAAAATAAATAATTTATTGAAGAGTTTAAAATAAAAAATAAAAAAAAATATTTTTGCAATTTCCTTCTGTATAACATTTCCACCTCTGTATACTTCCATTGTAACTGTACTTCTCCCCCCTTATTTCAGTTTCTCTTTGTCTATACATATGATACTATTATATACAGTCCTTAATTTACAATCCTTCTTTCCATTTATACATGTTTGTTCATCTCTACCTATACATTGTTAATTTCTAACTCCTGTGTCTTCTTCTATAAAGCTTTATACCTGTCCTCTAGCCATTTGTACCACTCTGCGCCAAGGTGGCGCAGTGGTTAAATGCAGCACTGCAGGCTACTGCTAGATCAGCAGGTCAGCGGTTCAAATCTCACCGGCTCAGGGTTGACTCAGCCTTCCATCCTTCCGAGGTGGGTAAAATGAGGACCCAGATTGTTGGGGGCAATATGCTGACTCTCTGTAAACCGCTTAGAGAGGCCTGAAAGGCCTATGAAGCGGTATATAAGTCTACTGCTATTGCTATTGCTATCATTCCATTCCATGTAATATTATGTTTCCTCCTTTAGGAGATAACTCTTATATGCAACATTGAGAGGGGTCATATTAAATGTATTCTAACTAATTGTAAACATAAAGAAAACCATACTTTTGGGAACGTGGACGAGGCATGCTGCTCAAAAAGCCAAGTACAGCTATTAGATAATGAAAATGGTGCACTCCTGACCTAGAAATGAGAAGTCAACATATTCTGATACATGGATGAACCAGAAACTAGCTGAAGTTTGAGTGAGGCTGCTAGAAGAGATGATCAAAAGAATTCCAGTGCTATACATTCATATTTTACTTTATATCTTGCAAGAATACCATACTAGCTATGTGTTAAGTAGCATGCTCTTCTGTCCTCTTGAAATCACCATGATGTTTACTTCCTTATGAGCCATTCTGCAACTCCTAGTTAGAACTCAAATTCCTCTCGCCATGAACTGATATGCAGTCAGAGGTCTTCCACAGTGTTAGCAGCATAAGAGTAATTATAAGGTGGTATGGTCGCTGTCGACATTTGCACACATACTGATACGTAATACTGCCACATGTTTGGTTCTTACCAAATCATAATCTATATTATGCATTGTCTAATCATACTCTTCATTATTCATAGGCACGTCTGCAGCGTTACAGCACGCTGCATTGAAGCAACTTTCACACTGCAAACCTGAATATCAATAGCATTTGATTCACTGAATAAGCATAAGCCACTCCTAGCCAAAAATCTTGATAGTTGCTCCACAGAAATGACACAGCACTGTTGGCTGGAAAAATCAGGGATCTCTAAATATCTCCAGGACACTCTGTGCATTTCTCTACAAACCTCTTGCCCACTGAATTAACACTGTGATTAAGCAGGGCATTTGCTCCATTATAAACACCAGCAGTGACAGCCAGTTTAACCTTTTAATGCACAGTGGTTTGAAAGTCTCTTTCTACAAAGCTTTTTCTTCCTAATGAATGGCCCTCTACTTTCATAGCTCTCTCTTAACATGAGTTTCTAAAATAGGTTCTTCTATTATCTTCATCAGGCAGCTCCCACATGCACCTGAAAACCCCATTGCCAGGCTAAGTGCCATAGAGAAACGGGCCATCAACCTGACGTGGACCAAGCCCTTTGATGGAAATAGCCCATTGCTGCGTTACATCCTCGAGGTCTCCGAAAACAGTAAGGCATTGCACCATCTTCCTGCCATAAAGTTGCCAGGTACAACTTGCCCATGTTCTTGTGGCAAACAGAAATGGACCATCCCTTCTCAAAAGTGATGGGAAAAAATCCTGGGTGGGACTATGACAAAATGGGTGTTCTGGCAGTCTGAATTTTCTGGAGGACCTCTTGTAGCTTTTGTTGCAATTTGTGGCTACTTCTTTTAAGTGTTATATGTTCTCAAGAATTTGTCGTCGTTTTAAAATACTGCTTATGCCCATCACCGCTCCTAAGCTTACCCAAAGGTACAGGCCTACCTTGCGTTGAACAGGATGATTTCCTTTATCCTTGGAAAAACCCTGAAATGGTTTTACTTACCTGATCAAACATGCACAGCTTCTTCCCATAGCAATGATCTTTAGGATGCAGCCAGGAGCAGAACCAGATCCTGGCTTTTAAAGAATGGGATACTGTGTAAGATTGAAAGAGGCTTGGAATCTCTCTGCAAGTACTAGATTGTTCTGGACAAAATTTGGTCCATGGGACCACTACATTAAAAAAAGATCTGCAGAGGAACTAGTTAAGAACCATTTTTTTCCTTTTAAAGAGGGACTGTGCACTGTGCACTGTGTTATCACAATTCTTCCTAAATAACTTTTCCACAGGATTATGCCTTATTTCTCTCTCTCTCTCTCTATCCAGATGCTCCGTGGACCATTCTTATGGCCAGTGTGGATCCTGAAGTAAATTCAGTGCTGGTGAGAGGATTAGTTCCTGCCCGCTCATACCAGTTCCGCCTTTGTGCTGTTAATGATGTGGGCAAAGGCCAGTTCAGCAAGGACACCGAGAGGTGAGGTGCCCATATCTGACATGGGCAGCTGCAGATATAATCACTTGCAGGAGTAGAAAGGCTTATAGGATTTTAAAATGGAAATGTTTTGATGTACCTAAGGGATAGAATCAAGATCACGTGAAGTGTTAATACCACTTTATAATGCCTTGATAAGGCCACACCTGGAATACTGCATTCAGTTTTGGTCCTCACGATGTAAAAAAGATGTGGAGACTCTAGAAAGAGTGCAGAGAAGAGCCACAAATATGATTAGGGGACTGGAGACTAAAACATATGAAGAACNAACCCTCACCACCCTCCAGGCCTTCCGCAAAGCCCTTAAAACCTGGCTGTTCCGACAGGCCTGGGGCTAATGAACTTTTGTCCCCCCTCGAATGGTATGGTTGTTGTGTGCTTTTAAATTGTGGTATTGTTTTGTTTTGTGTTTTTTTTTCTTTATTTGTACACCCCCCCCCCCTTTGATTTGGGTTGTGAGCCGCCCTGAGTCCCCTTCAGGGAAAAGGACGGCATAGAAATATAATAAATGAAATGAAATGAATGAATGAACTGGGAGGGGCTTGTCTGAGACATTTACTCAAATTAATTTCTTGGCCCAGGTACAAGTACATTTACCTGAAACTGCCAGAGTACTAACTCTTCCTCTTATACTTTAAAGCCATTCTTTAAGCTATAGGATCTGACTATGTAAACATATTTGATTACTATACATTTTCCATAGACTGAAGTGCCACACATTTATTCCAGTGTAATTCTATTACACTATGGGTTTTTCCTCGCCTTTTTAAAATTGTGCCATCCTTGGTATCGGAATGCCCTGCTACTCCTACAGTGTTCTTCTTATCATACTTCAAAAACACAATTGATAAACTGTTCCTCTCACATGGAAACTGTGTGTAGGTGTGTGTATGCATGCATGTGTGTGTGTGTTTTATTGCTGTTGAGGACAGGAGATGGGTAGACAAAGGTTAGCATTTGGTAGGTCAAAATTTAGCCTCAGTAGTTCCTCATATTTATTTCCCTTTCCATATATTTCAGTTCCTTAGTTTTACATTTTCTCCATTTGTTTCATTTTTCTTACTTGTATCCAATTTGCTAGGTTACTTCCTTAAAAAATATTATTTTTTCACACATCTTTCTTGTTTTTTCTTTTTATTCTTTTATAAAACAGTAATAAGGAGTTTCTGGGAAGGTGGTGCATTATTCTTCTCTGGATTAATAAAAGCACTCACACTCTCACACTTATACATGTACCTGAGAACAGAGGCATCAGTTTCTGCTTCTCCTATTGGGGTACAGCCTAGGGGTAAAGGAAGATGCATCAAAAGAAGCAAACCAGAGAAGGTGAAGGTTCAGTGTTTAGCAAGAGGAAGAGATAGGTTGGTTGAAGAGGAGTGCAAAGTAGATAGGAATCCCTTGATATAACTAAGTCACCTATGGAATATCTTCTAGAATACTGTTTCATCCTTGGTGGCTTCCCTAGCCAACAATTCTGGGAGTTGAAGTTCACACATGTTAAAGCCACCCCATTTTAGAATACTGCAATTCCCACCTGAGCCCAAAAGGTAGGTTTTTTTTTCAATTTGGAAAAACTCTAGTCTTTCTGGCAGCTGAAGCAGAAATGGCCGTGCAAACACAGAGCTCAGCAGCCAGTTGTGAGAAGGCAGTCCTGCAAATGGGACAGCTGGAGACATGAAGGCCACCAACATCCATTAGGCTCTTCCACTGTATGAATTAGATATTTCTAATAACTATAAATTTCTTGCCTGATCACTTTGATTCTGTCAGCTCTATTAGAGAGCCCAAACCAAGAAATCAACAAGGTGACTAGAACTATATTTTATAGAAGTTAGGCTATAACAGAATCTTGCAAGTCTGCTTGTATTTTGTCTTATTTCCTTCTTATATCTCAGTGTCAGGGAGAAGCCCAGGATTCTTCCTATGTCCTTTACTAGGGGTTAAGTAAAGCTTCTGCCTTTGTAAAGGCTTCTGAATATTCTTTCCAAGGCCATCCAAGGCTCTGTGCAACCCAAGCAACAGGCTGATACAGAGATGGTAGCTTTATAGCAAGGATAAGTCCTCAAAAACCTATTAGCTTTTCACCTCAGAACCAGGGCAACGAGAGTGTGTGGATGAGGTCTTTATCACAGAGAAGTTACACTCATAGCAGGTAACTTTAAGATTTTAGTTATTCCAAGATTCTGGGATCTACTGTTGTTGGCTCAAGACAACAAAAATACTATCAGCATACGGAAACTAATAGCTATTGCATGGACATTTTATTAAAAGCATATGTAATATGTCTGTTGAGATCAATGCATTAGCACTTATATCTGAAGTTGCAGTGAAAAATAGCTAACTGGATTAAAGAATGTAATTTGAAGAATAAATTATCTTTTTCTAACTTTATTTTCCCCTTTTCTGTAATTTTTTAATCTCTTTTATCCATGAATTTAGGCATAGACAATAAATGAGTGAGTTTCACTGACAAGTTTTATTTGGGCATTTGTTGTAACAACTAGTTGCAGGGGACAGTTTAAAGACAAAGAAAATGATTCTTTGTCTTTTTTATTTAAAAAAAACCACATACAATCTTCTCCAAAACTAAGATTCTGTGCGCATTTAGCAAATCCATATTCCATTGAAGTGTGCAGGGGAGATAAGCTAGAAAAAATATTTTTATTTTATTTTTTAATTAAATTTATATGCCACCCATCTCATTCTTAAGCTACCCTGGGTAGATTATATTTCCATTAATAATAATATAAGACAATTGGAGTTTAAAACATTAAAATACTGGAAATTGCAAGTTAAAAAATAAACTGCCCACCGTATTTGATATTTGTTCAATCTAGAAGAGGAAAGAAAATACCCAAATTTTCAGAGTATAGGTAGTTCTCAACTTATTACCTCAATTGAGTTCAGAATTTACGCTGCTAAGTGAGAAAATTGTTAAGTGAGTTTTGGCCTGTTTTACAACCTTTCTTGCCACAGTTGTTAAGTGATCCCTGAAGTTGTGTACTTAGTTACACAGTTGCTAAGTAAATCTAGGTTCTCCATGGACTTTGCTTGTCAGAAAGTCTCAAAAGGTGATCACATCACCTCAGGACACTGTAACCGTCATAAATATGCCAAGAATACAAATTCACATGACCATGGGGATACTGCAACGGTCGTAAGTGTGAAAAATACTCATGTCACTTTTTTCGATGCCGTTGTAACTTCATATGAGCACTAAATGAATGATTGTAAGTTTGAGGATGACCTATATAATTTTGATGTATAAAAGCCTTCATGTCTTTACACATGGATATCTTCTCCAAACAACTTTGACTTGCCTATTAGATCTATGAGGGAGAAACTGTTGCAAATCCATACTTTCAGGAGCTTTGGAAGGCTCAGGTTGTGAGCTACAGTGTTACATTGTGCATCTACATCCCTGTAGAGATCAGATTAGCTCCTCCTTGTAAATAGTTCTTAAAGTTCTTAAAGGCCAAGCTATTTTTGAATGCCAGTATCTGAGGTGATGTGATGTTGCCATCAGTTTATTTTCTAATTGGGACAAAATGTAAAGATAGATAAAGAATGGGGTGGATGCATGCATGCATGGATGGATACATTGATGGATGGAGATAGATAGATAGATAGATAGATAGATAGATAGATAGATAGATAGATAGATAGATAGATAGANAAACTGGTAGCAGCTCACCTCTGGAACTGGGTCCTTGTGCATGCAGCCCTTCCACAAGTGGTGGGTCAATGCGCACACAGCCTCTTGCACGAGCAGCAGGCTGGCACATGAGTGCCCACTGGCCCACCGCTTGTGGAAGTTAAGTTCACATGGCACAATTCCAAATAGGCCACGGCCCTGTAGTGGCCCGTGGCCCAGGGGTTGTGTATTCCTGGGTTAAATAACTTTTATGTGAGCAAATGGCTGCACCATTTTAACGCAGCTCACGCATACACAGGGTGGCATTTAGGGCATGCCATGATATAGCTGAGATTGGCTTGGCTTCATAAGGACTAAATTGTAAGGTTTGCGTATTAAGTCAAATTCTGAGTCAACTTTGAAATCTGCGTCCTACATTGTGTTTCCTTCCGTAGATTGTCGCTTCCTGAGGAACCCCCCACAGCACCCCCACAAAATGTCATTGCCAGTGGCCGCACAAACCAGTCTATCATGATCCAGTGGCAGCCACCACCCGAAAACCACCAGAATGGCATTCTCAAGGGCTACATCATTAGGTAGATATTAACTTATGGATGGCTTGGTCATCAGGACAAATAAATCTTTGGAAGCCTTTTTAATCTTCTACTGATGGGTGCAAAATTGGAAAAGCAGTAGCTGCCCACTGGGCTTCACTGTTCCTACAGATGATCTTATTGGTTCAGCCCTGATCCTGTTCTTCTTTTTCCAGATTTTGCCTGGCTGGTCTGCCAGTTGGCTACCAGTTCAGGAACATTAGTAATGCTGACGTCAACAATCTGCTGCTTGAGGACCTAATCATTTGGACTAATTATGAAATTGAAGTGGCTGCCTACAACAGTGCTGGATTGGGTGTCTACAGTGCCAAAGTCACAGAATGGACTCTCCAGGGTGGTAAGCTATGATTCAAAGTCATAACAGGGAGATAGGAAGCCCTACCTCTGTTGGTGAGAGGATTAGTTCCTGCCCATTCATGCCAGTTCCGTTTTCTTCCATCGTAGCTCCCAAAGCCATGATGTTAGGCCTGCAGCCAGTTCCTTTTAGGATCTTTGGCCTGCCACACTGTATCTTATTTTACTGTGCTGTTTCATTAGTGGGGAATTGGGAGGGGGAATAGTAAAGAGTAGAATGTGTTGTTGTCAAAATAAAAAATTCCTTCTAGAAACCAAGGTCATCTTTTGTTCTCCACATCTCTGAGCCTGACCGGAACTGGATAGGTGGGACTGCCAGTGTGGCAGTGGAAGATTGGACTTGTGGGTGTGGGGGCAAGATCATGAACTTTCAACTGGGTGGGAAACCCCGGGAAGTTTTCAGATTTGGGTTTCCACAGATGTACCAACATGTCTCTCAATAAATTGGAACTTTGAGGAATACTCTGCCTTGAACTCTGATTTAATTTTGGATGATATTTGGAACACTGACATTAACCTGAATCTGAAAACTCTTAGGAGTCTCATGCTCTACTGACTGAGTTAGCCAGGCTTGTGGGTTCGAGTCCCATCTGGGGTGCCATGGCACATGAAACATTGAAAAGCAGTTGTAGTAGGCTTAAAAAGGCAGGAATATATCATGCTGAAGATTCAGAATACCATAGGCAGTAGACAACTGCCTTTAAATCTCAGTCAATTTTTGCTCTTATAGCCTTGATTCTGAGTGTACAGCTGATGAACATAAAATGGAAGGTTGGGGTGTACCGTACAGATGTTGCCGAGATGGTCCCTTCCAATTTGCTCGTGCAAGAGGCTGTGTGCGCATTGACCCACCACTTGTGGAAGGGCTGCATGCACAAGGACCCAGTTCCAGAGGTGAGCTGCTACCAGTTTGGATTGGCCAAACCAATCCAAACTGGTAGCAGCTCACCTCTG